AAATGTTTAAGAAATTGTGATGATCTTTTCACTTCGATCTTAATTTAATTTCAATCTGACCAATTAATTTGTTAAAATATGTTAAGTTTTACAACTAAAGTGAAGATTACATCCAAGATTCAAGGAGGTCAAAGCCCTTGGAATTTGGGTGTAAATAAATAGGGAAATAATATTATCGGGCATAAAATTGAAAATTTTAAAGTGACTGACTAAAATCTCCAATTCGGTCCTATCGTTTGGGTGCTGATGTGTAGATGTTAGCCCTCAGGTGAGGGGAACGTGGAAGCTCCGAAGTGAGAGCCGGTATCCTCCCAGCCTAGCCGCAGAATCAGTAACCAAGCACAGGATTAGTCAATGTTCTTTATGTCTAGACCAAAGGGTGAAGAATAGGTATGATCTTATTTGACACAATATAATTTGAACTAATTCATTTTGTCTATTTCACTATAATTTCTTAACAAGAAGAATGATATTTTCTTATATATCACAATCGTACCTTCATTAGCATAATTAGTTATTTTATAGATAAAATTACATAATTATTTCAATTGTCTATTAGTGACAGATAAACAAATTGAACTTTGTTGTGTAATTGAAGTATTGTTTTTTATAAACTCTTAGTCCGTAGATTTAACTACTCCCTGTGGGGTTGATATCTAGGACTCCATTAGAACCCTATATTACTTGAGCGATATGTATACTTGTGTTGACAAATTCGACTTTAATATTATTGAATATTATATTTATATATCTTAATCAAATTAGACACATCTATAAAGTCGCGATCAAGTCTTTGGACGTCATTGCTGAAAATTAAATCTTCTAGTAGCGCCATCAAATTTTTTTATTTGTCGATTTACAAAAAGTCGGTCAAGTATAAACCAGAGAAGGCTAATGTCGTAGCAGATGTGCTAAGTCAGAAAGTAAAACTTACAAGAATTTCGCAAGTCTCCATCTCCTTAAAAAGTAGAATCAAGGAAGGGTTGAATGCAGATGCACAAACCCAGAGTATTCTTGCTTTAATAAAGGAAGGAAAAACATGAAAATTCTGAATAAATGAAGAGGTCCTCTATATTAAGGGACGCATTTACGTGCTAAGGTGGGGCAACATAAGAAAGGAGTCAATCAAAGAATGTCACGAATTTTTTTGGGCGAGATATCCAAGTATGAAACGAACTCTAGCCCTTCTCAAAACCAACTACTATTAGCAAGTGATGAAGGATGGGGCGAAGGAATATGTATGCACTCGTCTTGTTTAACAACAAGATAGTTGTTCATCAAAAATCAAGGGGGTTGTTAGAACCACTACCTGTTCCTCAGAGACCATGGGAGAGCGTTTTTATGGACTTCATCTCCAGCCTGCCAAAATCTAAAGTATTTGGAAACATCCTAGTTGTGTTTGATAGATTCAGCAAGTATGCAATATTTATTGTTGCTCCCACCGACTGTACTACTGAAGAAGTTACAAGGCTCTTTCTCTGTAACGTGGTAATGCTATGGGGAACACCACAAAGCATTGCTGGCGATCAGGATCATCCCTTCACTGGAAGATTTTGGACTGAATTTTTCAAGATGTTAGGGTCAGATCTAAACTTCTCTACAAGTTTTCATCCCCAAAGTGATGGTCAAACAAAGAGAATCAATGCCCACTTGAAACTATATTTGTGTCACTATGTAAGTGCAAATCAACAAAATTGGGCTAAATTGTTGGATCTAGCACAGTTCTCCTTTAATCTGCAAACAAGCATAGCCATCAATAAGGTCCTTTTGAGATAATTATAGGGCCAAAACCAATGACTCACCTCTCCTTTACAACCAACTATGAAAGAAAAAGTTTAGCAGCTTTCAAATTTGCCAAATCCTGAAACGAGCAAAGGTAATTAGCTCGAACCACATTACATAAGGCTACAAGAAGAATGAAGTGGGCAGACTAGAAAAGGAGGCATATGGAGTTTAAAGAAGGAGATCTAACCTTTGTAAAGCTCCTATCCCAACAATTCAAAACATTTCGAAAGGTGCATAAAGGATTGATACGGAGATATCAATGACCTTTTGATGTAATAAAATTGGTGAGAAAATTCTTCTACAAACTCAACATTTCACCAAAATTAAAGATACATCCAGTCTTTCATGCAAGTATGTTGAATCTTTATCATGAAGACATGGAACTTTTAAGGGGGATTTATAAACCAGCACCTATAACCGTAGTCACCTCCTTCAATAAAGAAGTTGAAAAAATATTGGCAGACAGAGTGATCAGATAACGAGGGGTACCAAACTATAAGGAGTACCTCATCAAGTGGAAAGGACTACCTGATAGCGAAGCTAACTAGGAGCATGAAGACATGTTATGGTAATTCAAAGAAAAGATACAATAGTATCAAGAGAAAGGTGCAATGCCCAAGCTTAAGCGGGGAAGAGTGTCACACACCGTTATCTATAGAGTAATTGGCAAGCCAACAATTATTAGGAAGATTCTAGAAAAGACCAGAAAGAAGAGAACAATTCAAGAGACTCTAGAATATTCTACCGCATTCTAGAGCACGTTAGAAGAGGATGCTTCAGGGAGAAATCTAGAATAACCAAGAAAACTGTAGAATTATGTATATATGCAAAAGGGCTAAGTAGAACTTTCTAGAAGTTAGTCTATTCTAATGTAATCTAAAAGTTCCATAAGGCATGGGGGAGGACTATAAATAGAAGTCCCTCCCTCTCATTTGGGACCATCCAAGACTCCTATAAGCAATCAAGTGTGCAATTTCTCCTTCCTTAGTGAAGTGTTATTTTCTTCAATAACTTCTCGCTACTATTTTCCTAAGAAAGTTCTGTGCCTTTCTAGTTGAAGCGCTGCAAGGGTTACATTGATTTAGTGGTTAAAAAGAATGCTAAAGCAGCACGAGTGACTAGAAAAAATTTTGTCTGTGCCACTAAGCTGTGAGTCTAAAATAAAAATAAAAAAACTACAAAATAAAATCAAATCATGACTAGCCCAGAAAGAGGGAAAAAAAAGGAATGTAATTAACATAATTGTTTATAATTAATGTAGCAAATAATCCCATTCCATAAAAGCTAAAGAACACGTCAACTTTTAGGAACAATAGCTGCAACTTTGTACTGAAGGAGCAGCTAGAAGGAGGCAGAAACAGTTTTAGTTGGGGTTTTGTATGGAAGGAGGCATAGCTGGCAAGAACCAGGCGTGAAGCAACTAGCTGATGTGCAAGGACCAGCTGGCAGGTAATCAGGCACCTTCAGGAGACAACAGGCTATCGTCCACTGGCCTGGAGGGAGAGGGAACTGAGTGAGCAGGTGTGGCCACTGTCGCACTTGCTGGGAAGACAATGGAAGTGCAAGAGCTGATTCATGGCTGCATAATGAATTATTGAGGAGGAGCAACAAGTGGCAGCAGGTGTGCAATTGAATTAATTACAAGAGCGTGAATTAAAGAGCTATTTTATAGTTTTCCACACTTCCACCCTAGGTTTATAACTAATAAGGTCCCTTCAAATGACATGAGCTATGATTGCTAACAAGGATCTTCCATTCAACTTGTTCAACTAACTTCAGACTAAAAGCCAAACAACAGACATGAGATATGGATCAAGTTTATCACCATTCGTCCACTATCTCATTGATTCAATAGCAGTATATTCTTTCCCAAATTCAAACTGTTGCTACTAAAAAAAACAGACAGCTTATAGAGCAGCCTTAGTTAAAATCGCTCTCTTGTAATCAAAAGAGGTAACTAAGCAAAGGGGCTTACATCTATAAAAAAAAAAATTTCCATAAAGTTCTAGTAGGAGGGCTAAATTTCTGGGTGGTGTCCTAGGTAATAACTAATGTTTTCTGGACAATTGATCTGAAAGCACTTGAATATGATAGCCTGATGGAGGTTTTCCAAAGCCCACATATACTTTTAATCAATTCAGAAAAAAAAAACATACTATATAAGATGTGTAGACATTATATATGATAAGTTTACCAAGCGCAGGTACATTCTTACTAGTATAAAAAAACTAACTGAAAATTTTCCCTTTTGCAACTATTTCTTAGTCTTTCAATCAAAAAAAAGGAAAAAAGACTTGGTCAACCAAAAATGGATTTTGAATTGTGAAAGTTTACTCAGGAAGCTGTCTGACATTGTCAGAATCTGGAAGCTGCTGAAGTCTGTTCTTAAGCAAAGGCATCCCGCTCTCAAAGCATGGCAGTACATTATCCCCAAAGTAGAACCTTTCCTGTAAATATCAGAAATAAACTAAAGACTGGGTGAAAATCAAAATTTATGATTCTGCCTGCGAGACAATACAAAAGAGTATAAAATTAGTAAATACACATATTACGAAACAAACCTGCAAAGCATGGATATCAAAAATCACTAAACTACTCGGTCCACCCCTAGAAATTGGTATGTTTGACAAGATTCTAGCAAGAGTGAAAGCTGTTGCTACATCTCCTTCATCTTCCATACGCTCAAAAGAACCCGTAGGAAAGAAAGGAAGGACTACTGTAAATGAGGAGACAAACAACCTTGGTAGGGCATAGATGATAGACAACTGCTCAAAAATTACCCCAGGAGAACTAAATGAGGCCAAAAAGGAAACATGTTGTCCACGAATTCCATGAGCGTTAGAGATGAATAAGTTGGGAAATCCATCTTCAAAATTTCTAAATACAAAAAATGAAAGAAAACTATATCAACAAGTAAAATAAGACTAGCATGGTAAAAGTACAAACCTAGGTGCACAAAAATAAAGTTCAACGTATCCTAAAAAAAAATTTAATGATAGAATAAACTAAGAACCTCAGTTCAGCTTCATAACAAATTCAAGCAAATCGATCAAATTATTGACCACTAAAGAGAAAGTGAAAGAACACTCTAGAAGAATTAATATGGCATTCAATAAGCAAAAAGAGGATTTAGATTTTAAATGTTCATCATGGGCACAGGAAAGTAGGATTTGAGGTACTGGCTAACAATTAAAAATCTCTTAGGAGGGAAAGAACGAGTTTAAACAAGCAAGAATTGTTGAATTCATGCCCTCTTACCAGCTCATTTATTTGCCAAATGCATTAATCCATATCCCTTTGAAAAAACTCCGTAAAAATTCACCTGATTTCCAATTAAGACTCCTAGTCATAACAAACATAATAGCAAATGTACAAATGAAAGCAAATTTATGCAAATCTAAAGTGACGAGAGGATTCAAATCTATTTTTAATGATGTTTAAACTCTTTATATGGAATAGCAGAGGCATTACTAAGACCATGCTTGCATCAAATTGAAAATTTTAATTAAAATTCATAAACCTCCCTTCCAAGCTAATTTTAAGCCTTTGGTGGCAAAAGAAAATAATAACAGACACCTTATAAGAATTGGTAACTTCAATCTTGTGACTAATACCGACAATAAGATATGGTTCATGTGAAGAAATTTTGTCGATGTGGAGGTCCTGAAAACTGCCAAACAATTATTTATTTTGTAGAGGGTCAGGTATAACTCTTCCTGTTTCTTACTTAGCACTACGAATGCTGGTTGCTGTAGAGAGGCTAGGAGACCTCTGTGGGATTGTATGAGAAATTTTGGGTCTTCCTGTACTGAGCCTTGGATCATTGGTTGTAACTTTAATATGATTACATCTGTGAGAGGAAAGGGAGCAGAGCACCAAACTAAAGACGGATTAACATGTTTGCTGAAACTATTTATGATGCTCATTTATTTCTAAATTCACTTGGAATAGAGGTAATCTTTTGAAAGGCTGGATAGGTTCTTTGTCAATAGTTTCTGGATGGATAGCTCTATTATATTCAATGCTCAGCATCTCTCTAGGACTGCATCTGATCACTCCCCCATTTTGCTACCCACTCTAGAAACCCATAAACCTGAGCACAAGTCCTTCAGGTTTCTTAATAGGTGGACCAAACACTCATCCTTTTAGGAATTCATACACCTCAATTGAACATGTCCTCGGCTTCTCAGCTCTTTGGACCAGGCTTTGGCAGCTTCATAAAAATGTTTTCTAAAGCTTTGAAGCATTGGAATTGGGACACCTTTGGGAATGTTCATCACAAAGTACTCAATTTTTATAAAATCTTAAAATATAGAACACTTCAAGCATGTGCTTAAATATTTTAAAATTGATATGAAATCATATAATCATGAATGGTAGGACATAAACATACACTTTGCAACCTAAATATTTTCTAATACCTTGCATACATATAAATTTATATGTAAGAGATTAAAGCAAATTGGTTTCCTAAATTAAAATTTAAGTATCCTAGTCAAGCGATCATTGACAACAAACAAACAATACAAACGGAGACGACTTTCCATAGCAAAATTAGGGTTTACTTCGCCAACACAAAACAAAACAACTTTACAAACGGAGACGACTTTCCATAGCAAAATTAGGGCAAATAAAATTATTTACTTCACCAACACAAAACAAAACAACTCAAATGCATAAAAGATAAGCACATAAAATTCAAGAGGTTGGTGATCTCTCCCAAATCCTAACTATAGCACCCACAATTTGAGAGGTAGGTCATCTCCCTCAAAACCGTAACCTTAATACTCAAGACAACAATCACATCGTATCCTAATCCTAAAAATATTACCCTATTTATGCCACCACAAAAATAAATAACAAAAGACTAAATTGCTCTTAGGCGCCAGTCGAACATTACTTCCCTTCCAAAAAGGCACTTTGTCCTCGAAGCAAAAAAAAAAAAAGAAACTAAAGTTGGATCAAGTCTAATGGCTCCTATTCAAAAACTGACTTGAGTCTGGCTTTCGCCTACAACAATTAATTAAAATAATTGATGGGTCGTTGATATTGTTTGAGGACTGCGCCAATCCATAGCCTGGAGTATATGTCTCGACAATAAAAAGTTGGTTGAAATCAGGTAATGTCAACATCGTTACACTCATTATGGCTTTTTTTAACTTCACAACAGCTTGGGTCGCCACTTCCCCCCATTGAAACTTTTTCTTCTTCAACTTCTTTGCCAATGACTACACGATTGAATTATAACCCTTCACAAACTTCTAGTAGTATCTTGTAAGTCTCATGAATCTTCTCGACCTCTTCTAGGCATCTGGTAGTGGTCACACAACTCTAGCCGCCAACTTTGATAGATTTGTCGACTCCCAGGTTGTGCACAAACTAAGATCACTGCGAATCACCAACATCTTATCACCCTCCTAAAAACTCAGCAGCATCCAAATCAGTCCCTTACAAACACTCCTCTTCTCTACCTTTCTCGTTCTTACCAATTACTCCTAAATTGCCTTTCACCAAGAAGGCTGCCACAGCAGAAGGCATCGAAGTAATTGAATGCAAGCCTTCGTCGGGGTCCCAACCAACAAGGTTCCCTGTTCTAGGGTAAATACTTCGAATTGATCTTCTCCAATCCCAAATCACACACAGCCCCATTCCACAAACTGCCACTCATTCCAAACGTCAATATGTCGCACCATTCCCTCCAGATGTTGCCAATCGAATGCAATCCCTACTCCAATTTTTTTTTTGTTCTGTTTTCGTTTGTTCCAACAATTCAGATGTTGCACTATTTCTTTCGATTGCTACTACTCAAGTCCTCCCGCGACTACTTCGCTTTAACCCGCTTGCTTCTATATGTTCCAGTTGACCGAATGTCGTGTCATTCCTTCCAAGAGTTGATGTCGCAAAAATCTTACAGATTGATATCCCTTTCTTCTTCGTAGCTAGCTCAAATCACAACCATATCGTGAGATTCACTAATAAGACCAAACTATAATCGTGATTGTATCACGGGTTTCGGTCATATTGTACGTCACGATCCTGTCATTGCTTCTCAGATGTGTGAATCACAATCGTATTGTGTGGTTCGGTCACGAAGGATTTTGTACGCCTCAATCCCAATTGAGATTTCCAAGTTAATAATTCCACAGATTTGTACGTCGCTATCCCGTCATATGCTTCCCAACTTGCAAGAATAGCTACTGTTTAGCGACTTCTTCACAGCTAGCGCGAATCATAGAAATTTTATCGAACGACGTGATTCTGTATTTGCTTCTCAAAATCAAATGCTCTTATACCAATTAGATATGAACGAAGTCGAATTTCCATAACAAAATTAGGATAGATAAAGTTTTATACTTCACCAACACTAAACAACAAAACTCAAGTGCACAAAAGAAAAACACCTACAATTCGAGAGATAGGTGATATCTTTCAAACCCTAACACCGACAATTTGAGAGGCAGGCGATCTCCCCCAAAGCCCTAACCGAAATAATCAAGACAACAATCTTATTGTATCCAAACCCTACATATTAGCCCTATTTAGACCTCCACAAAAATTAATAATAAAAGACTAAAATTGCCCTTAGGTGCCGGCTAACATTAAAGAAAAATTAGTTCCTAAATTAAAATTTGAGTATCCTATTCAAGCAATGATTGACAGCAAAAAAAACATTCTCGTTATTATCACCTTGAAACATTCTCTTTTATACACAATCTATAAAATATAAGTTAATCAATTTACTATATTTCTAACTTATCAACTCAGTTTGTAAATCAAAATAATCATAATCATTTATCCTCATACATGACTTAAAGCATGATATTCAGTTCAAAGTCATTACATAGGAAAATATACAAAAAAAATTGATTTTTTTCATACCAATCTAGCCTTTCTTTCCTATTCTTCGCTTTCCCTCCTTCAACTAGCTCACAACACAAACTCTTGACTCATTAGCTCACTATGACAAAAAAGAACATGAGGGTAACATGGGAGTTATTAGCATGCATTAATATATAAGTAATTATACTTTGTTAGATCTACTACTCCTTGGACCCATCACAACCGATTCTTCATTAAAATTTAATGCCTGCACGGAGTGGCAAAAATGAATGGTGCATTAGTTTGTGGTACAATAATATTAAGATTAAAACTAAGGCTAACTGAGTTTTCCAAAAAATTCATTCATATTAACTAATATACATTCAATTATACATATACATCTATAGTTCTAAATAATCAGTATGAAATATTAAATTTTATAAAAACTAGTTTTAATTATTTTCATGATATGAGAAATTGGGGTATAAATAATTATGACCTTTTAACTTCTACCCTGGCTAAATTTTAGGTATTACAACAGGGGCAATCAAAATTCTATTAATCAATCAACTATAATGATGCTTTACAAAAACTGGTAGAATACCATGATTACATGAAACTCCAACAAAGTACCATGGTTGGAGCAAAACTCAAGAAAATATTAGGTTTAGAGTTCTAGAAGAATATGAGGGAAGCACCAAAACCTTATAAGATGCTAGGGTTTCACCATGACCTTGCTATTAAAATATGGTTACACTGTAGGCCTAGTACAATATCAAGGTTGCACTAAAACCTTGGTAGAATAATAGAAGTAATCAAATACAGTAATCGAATACTAGAGTTGCACCCAACCTTATTGTACTCAAAGTATAGTAGAAAACTAAGGCCAAACCAACCTCCAATCGATGCTCCTTAGCTCGATTGCATCGCTCTCCATGGCGATAAGCTCCGCTAGGTTCCTCATCTCTTCGCAGAAAAAGAGACAAACGTTCTTCTTCGACCGTTTGGGACGTAACTCAATAGACGGCACCGCCTGCGACGAAACCATTAAGGAAGGCGAGGAGGAATAGCTATCTCGAGCCTGCATCACTTCGTAGCTTCTCACGCTGTAGATACCACCGTCTCTCCCGTCACTGAGTTCCGATCGGATGGGTATCTTCATCCTCGAAAAAGGCAACGGCCTAGTCGAGCTGGGTAACCCGGACTGCCTTAACTCAGCTCTCTCGGAGACGATGTAGTGTGGTATAGGGTTAACGCTTCGGCTAAAGGACGCTGCCGCCATTGTTGCCCGAAAGCAGAGGCTGAGAGGAGGTCGGTCACTCTCTATAGTTGCCGCTCCGGCCTTACGGAACTGACAAGAACAAATCTCACTCGTTTTCATGGAATATATTTTTTAGATTGGTATATACATAATTAAATAGTTTGCATTGAATTAAACTGAAAATACATTTTACTGAGATTATAATAAATTTATATGATTTTTTTTTAATTAGAAGAAAATACTATATTTTTAAACTCATAGTTGAATCTACTGGTTATTATTAATAGACTTTTAATTTGGGGTATTTACATGGGAAGTAGATGAAACATTTTGCATATCCCCCACCTAAACTTCTTACCACAAAATATCAGAAAAAACACTATAATCCTTCGTAACCCTCATTTTCCTGAAAAATTATTACGTCTGTAATACAAGAAATATTTGCGTATGTCTAAGTTATATTCGCGTTATACCACATGTAACCTCTCTGTAACCTACTTGTAACTAGTAAGTTTCACGCTTCTATTTTCATATATTTGTAAGTTTAGGGTAGGTTATAAGATGTTACAGGGGGTATAACGCAGATATAACCCTCCAATACCTCCCTGTAACCTACCGACATACGCAGTTCTGCGTACGTTAGACGTACACAAAAATTTCTCCTTCGTAACCCCCCATTTTCCTGAAAAATTATTACGTCTGTGATACAGACCTTCGCTGTATCACGGTCGTCGCCCGGACACCGCTCGGCGTCCGGACGACGGACGTTATAATCTCTCCATTTTCCTTCCCTCTATTGCTTGTGAAGCTCATCATCTCTCCTTCGCTAGAAGGCTACAGAAAGCTCTTCCATCTTCCATGGGACAACTGCGAGCGTCTTGTAGAATCGAGATTTTCTTGTTGCGGAATGCCTCGCTGAATCGAGACCTCCTTTGCTGGAATGCCCATAAATCTTCTTTAATTTTCTATTACACTCTGCATTGGTATGTTATGTTCTCTATTAGTCATTTGCATTTCAAGAATTATTTCAAAGTCATTTAATCTGCATTGATTCGCAACACTATGTCACAGCTGTTGATTTTAATTTGTTCCCTACTCTATTGTAAAGTTTTGTAATTATCTCTAAGTTAAATGGTAGTGAATAAAGTTATGTAGTAAGTTGAGAGGATCATTATAGTGTGATAAGCATGCTTAAGACACATGAAGAAACTTATGTTTAACAAATGAGTTGCTTGCCTGAATCATTTTTCGATAGGAAGATATACATATATACCAATTGATTTATGTGTTTATATATCTAATGCTGAAACATCGATTTTTACTTATAAAGGTCAATGTATATATGCATGAAAATATGTATTTCCCTTATTAAAATTATTAAAAGCTAAGATAGTGTTATTTATTATATGATATGAAAGATTTGGGCGGTTTAAATGTAAAAGTATAGTTTTAAGTGCAAGATATGTAAGTGGTTGAGTCTAAGAGATTGGTTCCTAATATGCTTGTTTTTTTTTTTTTTTTTTCTCGTGATCATTTGTGTTAAATAGTCTTAACTTAGATGAGGAAAGAACTAAAATGGTGTCGACTCTTTACAAATTCCACCTGATACAGATGGGCGGAGTGCTCAGCAAATAACTATTCAGATTTCTTCTTTATTGCCAGATTCTCCTTCGTAGCTTGATTTATCCTTTAGGAGGCCGAGAGCAGCTCTAATTGTCCGAGTAATTTGTTTTCATTCACCTCCTCCTAGTCTTTAGTTGTCTGCACCCATTCCTCTATCGCTACCAACTTTTGCTCAGCCTCCCGTCATTCTTCGCATTCCTGGAGAAGGACTAAAGACCTGAATTGAGAAGCAATCTTGGCCATCATTTGATACCTATTAGTCGCTTTACACAAGCCTGAGAGGTTGCATCTCAAATAGAGCTCTTCATAGGCGGGAAACCAGATGACATCTATGAGAATTAATGGGTAAAAGGCCACTGCGGGGGAGTCAGAATAACAATTGTTCTTAAATAAATTAGAGAAAACTAGCCATCTGAGTTGTTTCTCACCTTTCCCTCCTCATCTTGCAGTGGAACCCATCTAAGCTCAATTCTCTTATAATTTTTTCGAGATGGGGGAGGCTACAAGTCACTCAAATCAGTTGTGGGTGTCTTCCCTTTAAGACACATCTCCTCTTGGTTGAGGGGCTTGAACTCAGACTTAGATCCGCCCATGCCGATCGTAGAAGGGCGGCTTGCTTCAACTCTTATAGAAAGTTCGATGAAAGAAGCAACGACTAATTGGAGGGTGGTGGAGGTTCTTTTTTGTCTCTCTACCGAGACCTCCCTCTCATGCCAACTTGACTACACCATGTTTACCATCCTCTCAGCATCTTGATGTTGGACACCCAACAGATCTGCAACGGACTTTGAACTCTTAGTGGGCACCTTAAATATTTTCCTCTCAATGAGAATTATCTCACTGATGCAAATTCTTTAAGAAGTAATAGATGAATCATGTTTAGAATAAACCATTTTTGCACCTTCCAAGTCCATTCCACTAAGGGCCACTCTAGGTTTCGATCGACCCACTGCCAAGCCTCAGGGGGGCGGTTAAAGGGCCAAAAGCATCATAATATGTGGCCATGCAGGCTTTCTTCTTGGCTGCCCAAGTAGTAATGGTTGCCTCTCTTTACACCTCTTGTGTGTCGAAGGTTTCTCAATCCAACTAGGTCATTTAACACAAGGTGACGATTTTGAGCACCCGATTAAGGGTCTATTTGAGGTCTGCCGCTTCTCAGCTTTTTAGCTGCAGCTGAGCTGCCCTAAGAAGTTGCTAAGGGGAAGTTGTTGCAGGGAAGTTAGTTTGTTGTTTGTTGCAGCTGTCTGTGGGGCAGTTGTTTCTGAAAAAAATGATCATTTTGCTCCGTTCTAAAAATTTGTGTAAAACATAATATAAAATATTTATTTAGTAAACAAATTATTACATTAATTAATAATTAAGTAGTAATTACTTATATCTTTATCAAATAATTTACAACATAAAAATATGTTAATTAATTAATTAATTAATTATTAAATAATAATATATAAATCCATCTAATAATAATTAATTTTAAAATATTTGAATTAATCATTACTATTAATAACTTAAATTAACAAAATAAAAATTGTAATCCCTCTCCTCCATTTCGATTTTGCTCAGAACTATGGCCTTCGTGAACGAACCCCTCGCGGTACATTCGGGAATTAGAGCAAGATGGGAAGGCAGCGATGAATAGCTCCCGGTTTCGCCTAAAATCATGGCCTTCATCAATGTGCTTCAAGTGAAGGTGGAAGAAGGAGCAGCAGACGACTCGGCTTTGGCTTCACGAGAGGATCGGGAGCAGGGGTCGGGCGGGGAAGCAAGACGAGAGCGTCGGCTTCGTGTGGCGCTAGGGCAGTGATTGCGTCACGATATGTGGGGCAGAAGAGGTAAAATAAGATCGCAAAAGCGGGACGCCACAACCCGATTTTCGCCAAATTTGCGTCTTGCTCGCGGCGGGACGCCAAAACAAATAGAAAAAATTCGCAGGATTGCGCGGGATGCCGCCACAAAGCTATCCAACCGCGGTTCCAAACGGACCCTTAAGTAATTTATTATTCAAATGAGTAAAAATAGTAATGTGAAAAATATGATAAAAATATATAACCATAGAAAGATTATAGAACTCAAAAATGCATAAGTAGTCCAAGAGGATCTATAATCTAGAGAGTAAAATTGAGGGGTTTAGGGATATAATCAGAAGGATATGATTGTATGAATGTTTTACTCAGTCAAAAAAGTAAGACTAGATTTAAAAGAAAGCCCAGCTAAGTTTGTATGGCAAAACTAAACTTTGGTATTATGATGAGACACTTTTTAGAACTATTCTTTGTATGGAAAAATCTTGTGACACTTTTGATCTACCTTCTAAGTTACTAGATCAATTATTTAGTAAATATTAGTAATTATATAAGCTTCACATACTAGAATAGTTCTAAAAAGTGTCTCATCATGAATCATTGCATTCAATAGTTCTAACTTAGAATGCTGCATAGGCTATCCTTAAGATGTATGGTCTCTTATTAGTTTGCTTACCCATATCATCAAACCCCAATTATAATCAATAGTTTGAAATCAAATACTCAATTTTAAAAAGAATTAGAGTGGAGTGTAATAGTCACAAGATTTTAAATTAATATTAAGGTTTTATCATAAAATATTACACATTATGCACTTAATATATGAAATATATTTACTTGAAAAAATCTTTAAATTATTCTTATACTTAATATGGCTTTATTTATTATGGAATGCATGCCATGATCATAAACATTTCACGGGTAAAATAATAGTTTCACAAAAGATATTCCATATAAAATTTACCCATTTAACTTGTACATGACCACTTTGTGTCTAAAAATAATTTGAAACATATATTTTAATGTAAAAAATGTTTCCAATATTTTTTAAAATATTTTTTTAAATTTAGCCTAAAAGGTATAAAAAAGCAATAGTAGTTATAGTTATTGTTTCTAATTAATCAACCAGTTACTTGAGATAGGAAATGAACATGTAACAAACTTTCTGAGTATATTTTATAACTTTTTTGGAATTAAATGCTAAGTAGTATAGTTTTATATATTATAGTACGATGTTTGAAATATTTTCCTTATTAAGTGTGATTCAAACTATCATGAAATGATATTCATATGTTTCTAAGAGTATGATTAACTTTCTCACCGAGTTTAAATTTTTTTTTTAATTCACTTAAAATAGTTTGAAATATTTTCCTTATTAAGTGTGATTCAAACTACCATTTATTAACTTGCTTAATTTGAGAAGATAGTTTAAATAAGTTACTTAGAAAATTAGTGTTATCCATTTGGGCTTATTTAGAGTTTACTTAAGATAATATGATAAATTTGATCACCTTAGAAAGGTTGAATTTGATTATGTTGAACTACAACTTTTTTTCTTGTTTTAGAAATTTGGTTGAACTAAACCTCCGCTAAGAGATTTGTTTATCCATTGATGACTAATTTGACTTATTTGAATTAGTGAGGCCAAATCCAAGACAAAAGGAAAT